TGGGGGCTGGCAGTGTCCAGCTTCCTGAAAACATCCAAAGTACAGCAGACTACAAAAATCTAGTTGATAACTTTGTTCCTGATTTGTTAGTACTATTCTTTTTACTTAAACTGCTCAATAAATCATGAAGTTCTAAAAAAAAAAGCCTAGCAACTAGATTTATTTATTTATTTTTAAATAATTATTTTATTTAACTTTATTTATTCATTTGTTTATTTCAGTTTTACCAGAGAGAGACAGAGTGAAAGAGAGAGAGAAAGTGAGAAAGCAAGCCGCCAAGTCCAGGACTCGAATCACAGTCGACCATGTGGGAATTGAGCACCTTTAACCACCATGCTACCTGCCAGCCCCCAGCAACTAGATTTAGTATTTTTTTAATTTAGATTTTGATAGGCTTTTAAAAATAAGTCAATAATATAATAATAGCTTATTTAATGTGTCGAGAAAAATTCAAATCATAGATGTACTTACAAACAGTGTTACTATTGGCATTAATTAACTTGCTTATACTTTAACAGGAGAGTACAGCACACTTAAATTATTGTATAATAAAAGCATAATCTTGGATTTGACATATATGCTACTTGTAATAGTCAAATTTAGTTGAATCTAAGTTGTTTTTTCACCTCTCTCTTTATTTATTTATTTTTGGAGAGGTTTTCGCTATAGGGCATGTGTGCTTGCCAGACAGACAGAGAGAGATAGAGAGACAGAAAGCGAGAAATCGCCCCCCAGGGGGGATGGCCACGCAGCAATCCCTTCTCCCCCATTCTCCTCTTGGGTTCTTGAGCACGCACGCACACGCGCCTGGCATGAGTTTAAGCCACCGGGTCCGGGAACCTTGGTCGACTACATGGGAGTCCAGTGACATAGCCATTACGCCAACTGCTGGTCCTTCTTTATTTTTTTAAATTATCATAGACATTATCAGTAATTTTCCATTTTTGTGTCCATTAAATGTTTTGCTTTTGGACCAGCAGTTTATCATAATGCCTATGTCGCTGGACTTCCATGCAGTTGCAGAAGGGACTGTGGTGTGACCATCCCCCCTGGGGGTTGATTTCTCGCTTTCTGTCTCTCTGTCTCTCTCTGTCTTTCTGGTGAGTTCATGTGCCCTATAGTAAAAACCTCTCAAAAAAAAAAAAAAAAAAGGTTTTGCTTCCTCTTGACTCCCTGCCCATTGCCTACCATTCTCCTGCACTCCTGCACTTTCTTTAGTTTGCGATTATTATTATTTTTTAAATTTCAAGAAAAGCTGGCTTAGCTTTAATGAATCAAAATTTTAAAAAGTTAAGAAAAATTTGCTTAACTATTTTTTTAAAATAATTACTTATTTAATTTTATTTATTCATCCATTTATTTTAATTTGACCAGAGAGAGACAGAGAGGGGAAGTGAGAAAGCAAGTCACCAAGTCCAGGACTTGAACCATGGTTGGCCATGTGGGAGTGTACAGCGCCTTAACCACCATGCCACCTGCTGGTCCTGAAATCTGCTTAACTCTTTGTTTTGTTTTGTTTTGTTTTCCTTGGAAAATTAGTTTATTTTTATACTTCTGTAAATATTAGCTCAATGATCATGATAAGCAGGGAGCAGTCTCAATGGTGTTTATCCGGAGGATGGTCTGTGGGGTCACGATAATCTTTTTCTTCCTGAAGTTTTTCCTTTTCTTAAATTTCATGTTGACTCTTGGCCATGACTCTGTCTTTTCAATAACTGTGGCATCTACTCAAACAAGATCCTTTCCAAGGAGTGGCTTTCCAAGTACCGTGAAACTGTCTGCCCCAACCAGTAGGACCTTCTCCAACTGAATCCTCTCTCCGCACGCCACATCTAGCTCATTTCCGATTAAAATCAGGTCTTCGGCTGTCACCTTCCACTGGTGGCTAAGTTAAGGTACCACAGGTGCCATACTGCCCCGAGGCGATCAGCTCATTCACCTTCTTCACGACCTCTGTGTGGTGTCTGGTCTCTTCAACTGGGTCTGGCAAAACAGTTTCTGGCCAAGGTGGTGAACATATCCTTGTGGAAATGAAGCGCTTTGTGAGTTGAACCTTCGAGAAGCAGACCAAAGGCAGGCTGCTCCCGCCCCGAAGGTCTCAGGATGCAGACACCAGTCGCCCGAAGGTGACTGTCAGGGCAGCCGCAGCCAGAAGCAAATTTGCTTAACTCTTAAAGCCAGGAAACAGGTTAAGGATTCTGTCCAAACTGCAGATAAATACTAAAAACTCAAAAACCCAATGTGGACAGAACTAAAATCTAGTATCCATTGCACTATAGTTTTCTTTGAAAACATTTTTTTCTCTCTCCATTCCTCCTTTTACCAAAGAGATACATAAACTAACTTATTTGCCAAAAAGTAAATTTAATCTCAATTTCATCTGTTATTTGCACAAAGCCCAATAAAAATAGTAATTGATTTAGTTGGGTTTGTTGAAACCTTTTATAAGGAACTTCAGGTTAGACTCAATAATACTGAACCAAATCAGAAATTCACTGTTTTGACTGTGCCTTTAAGTAACTATACTTGGAAGTTTTGGGGCCTGTCAGTAAGTGATATTCTTTACTTACCTGCCAGGCAGAACTGTTTATGGTACCAGGCAATCTTTCTAAAAGCTTCTGTTGGCTTTCTTGAGATCAACCTTAGTTCCTTAGCTTTCAGATCATATCTTTAGATATGACATTCCAGTCAAAGCCCTCGCAATAACCAGTGTTTCCAATTTCTGATGCAAGGCAGTAGGTATTATTGAATTTATGTAGATAACTATACTGTCACATTTATATATATCATAAATATTTTCCAATTCTGGAGGGGTCAGGAAGGGAGAATAGGCTATGTTACAATTCTTTCTAGAAAAAAATATTTTTAAACAAATTGCTGAAGCTATAAACAGCTCAAAAGAAAACAAAAATCCTTTCCTGGCTAGAACTGAATCCCTTCTTCCCCCTCTCTTTTCTACCCAGTGAGTTCCTTCATCATATAGGCACTGGGGTGTTTCTATATCATCATCCTCCATAAACTAGCTTTAGGATAGTGCCAGACAAACATATGATATCATGGTGTAAAAAAATATACACACCACTCTTTGTAACATATTGTGACCAAATGGGCCTCAACGATTCAAAGATGACAACCAATAGCTTTTGATGGAAAATACGTGGGTGGATAGTATATTTCTATGGGTGGGTCTAATTTGGTAACAGTTGGATTGTGCCTGGTTTTATCACCTGTTCAGATGAGAAGATTTTTTGTCTTTTGTAGCACTGATAACCAGGAGAAGCCATTAAAAGCCACTGGTTATTTTATTTTTCATCAGGCAATTTTCCAAGTTTTTATTTGTTTGGTATTTTTTTTTACACTGTGGTACATATAAGCAACCTTCTTCGGTGATACCTGTACAGTAGTTAGACTTCACCTGCATATACATTTTTCCATTTTATGCTCTACCGTCAGAAAACAATGCTTTTTGAAGTGTATAAGATTTATGTCTACTGTAAACATTGCTTCCTTTTTTTGCTCTTGATTTACACGATGTTTGGTTGACAATGCTATTGACTATTGCAATCTATATAGTGTATTGAATGGCTTCTTTTGTCACCCTGATCTCCTACGTTACCGATGTGTATCGTCTCCTTCTCCCCAAAGTGTACTTACTCTTTGCTTTCTTTGCACAATGTCTTTGGTTGCGAGTCATAAGCCTGAGGCAAATAAAATTCCAGTAATTTCAACAGAGAAAAAAAAAAAAAGAAGAAAACAAAAATCCTTAAATCTTGAAAACAAAGCATAGAAAAAAATCAGTAATGTTTTGGTCAAAAGTCATAAAATTCTATTTCACCAGTTCTATCTCATGTAATTAATCTCTCTTCTGTTGGGTTTGCAGAGGTACTGTGGCCTGATCATTTCATTTCAATCCTAGAAGTTCAGAAATATGATCTCAAAGTTATTAAAAATCTGTATTTGGAGACCAGCAGGTGGTGTGGTGATTAAGGGGCTGGACACTCCCATGTGGCTACCAGGGTCCCAGTCTTCGACCTGGTGGCTCACTTTCTCTCTGTCTGGTCAAATTAAAATGAAAGAAATTAAATTTTTTAAAATTCTACCCCCCTTATATTCAAGAGTCTTTTTCATTAATTTCCTTAAAAGAGGCAAATTTTGAAGCATAGCTCCCCTTAACTCTTTTGAACTTATTTCTTAAGCAGATGAAGTCTCTTTTTAAAAAGATTGCCATGAAACTACAACAAAACATTAAAAACACTGAATATTTTAAGTTACTAAAAGCTTCCAGTTACTACAATCATTTTAAGACTAATAATATAGTGTGTCGTGATTAGAAGTCATTAGCACTGAAATGGTTGCTGTCCTTTGTTTTTACTTCCCTACATTTTCTTTTGGCTTGATTCACCAACACTATCCTCAAATATTAATCACAACTGAAATAATCTCGGTTCCCAGGATTTGACTGGGAAAATGAGAACACATTTTCTTACATCTTCAAGTGCTATAAATGCTTATTTAAAAGAAAAAGGACTATTGAGAGTAATTATGAAGAATACACGGAGAATCAGGGAGATTTCTCCTTCCCTATTCCTTTTTTCTCCCTTCCGCTCTCCCTCTTTGATCTGTTTCTTGCCTAGTTTCAAAGGAATATAAGTAAACTGCCGGGTAAAGCTCAAAGGTCTTTTTTTTTAATGGTGCTTTGGCTTAGTTTCTCTCAGAATGCCGTTTTAGCGTTCACGTTCCCCTTCCAGTCCCCACACCCCTCGCCTGCAGCTCCATTCTTTAAGGGTGTTGCGCTCCTCCATAGGCACTAGGGTACCTGCAGCCAGCACAGAGAAAGCGCCGGCGGGCCCCGCGAGCGCACACCTGGAGAGGGAGCGGGATCTTCACCTTCAAGCCTGCGCTGGGGGAGGGGAGCCCGGTCCCTCCTCCGACACCCAGGCGGTGACTTGTCGCCTAGCACCGGCGTGCAGAGGTGAACAGCCCTGGGATGGGGCCCGGAGGCGGAGCCCCCAAGTCGGGCAGGTCTGAGCTCCGCCCTGCCACTCGGGCAGAACGCGTTGTCCCTCGGCGAGCTCGCACCTTTAGTCGGGGCCTGGGACGACCTCCTTGCGCTCCTCGGGACGCAGCCTCGCGCACTGCACCCTCGCGCGCCCCTCGGCTGCTCCTAGGGCTCAACGCACCCCATTCCATTTGTGTGCCCCTTTGCGAGACCCGGGTGCAGCTGGCGCCTCTCTTTTTCCAAGCACACGCAGCATGACGCCCCCCCAAGTGCTAGCGTTCGGGCTTTTGCTCGCGGCGGTGGCGGCGGCTCAGAAAGGTAAGGCTCGGACTTGGGGAGTTGGGTCAGGCCGGGGGAGTTGGGCCAGGCCGGGGTAGGGAGTGGCAGCCTTTGGTGCCCAAGACTGAGATAATGGCGAAGACTGGGAGGTCACACTTCGGCGCCTGGAGACCGGACGGCGCGCGCGGGCCTTGAGCAGGCCCACCCTCCGCGCTGAGGACGCGGGGGGAAGGCGCCCGCTTGTGCTGGGCGGAAGGAGCAGCCTCACTTGGAGATTTCCAGTCTTCTCTAGGAAATTGGGCATGGGCGGGAGGCTTTAAAAGATCCGAGTGGCGAAGTCCTGGAATCATGAAGGCGCAGAACCAGCGCCTCACACACGAGCGTGCCCACCTCCTCCGGCTGGGCGGACTGTCGCTACAGCGTGGTCTGAACCAGCCCGGGCCGGTAGCAGTCTGTCGCCTCCCCTCCCTAGGGCCACCTGTGGCGGGCCCCGGATGTGGACCTCGGGCGGGGACAGGTGACTGCGAAGAGGCCACCAGGGCTGCTATACACCTGCCGGCGGAAGATAGGCGTCGACTGCGGGGCGTTTTGTGTTTTCCCTTTTCTAAGAATCCTATGAGTAATGCCCAGTTTATTGTAGGGAACGCAGACGTAATGAGAACTGTGACGAGTGGAAAACTGATAGTCTACAACTTGGAGAATTTAAAAATGAATAATTGAGTATGTTTTTCTTGTAGACTTTGCGTTGAATATTGCCTTAATCCTAAATAAACATAAGTTTTATGTCTTGATTCCCCCCCCCCACACACACACAACATCCAGAGTTTTCCATCCCCATTGGTCTTTAAAAACACGGTATAGATGGGAGCCATCGGTAAGGTGGAAAGTCACATCATTATCCAAATGTTGGACACGTGGTTTGATTCCTCCTTCTTTACTCAAGAATACATCAATTGGCTGCCATCTCTTGATTTATTTGTAAGATAGTTCCTAAAAGTGGAGTGACGATTGGCCAACAGGGAATGGCCTAAATCCATTATTTACACACTTCAGTTTAATCAAATCATATTTGCCTAGCGTCAGTCTGGGGCCAATTAGTCCATCTTAAATTGCTTAAAAGTGGTGATAGCTGTTACAGATACTTGCTCAGAAAGTCTGCACCTGGATGGTCTGTTTTAAATTTCACAGTGCTTGGGGATTTAAAAAAATGTGTTTTGAGCAAATATAGTACAGTGCTGCATAGGATTTTAACTACTTGAGGACAGCTGGTATATTATTCCTTTCTGTGGTCCCAATATTGAGTTTAGTGTTAATGGTTCATATTGATTATAGTCTAAGCAGGGGAAATTAAAGCCAATTTAAGGGTGTCATGTATGAAGGATCAGTATAAAAATTTTTTGCTTTGTCATACTAGTTTTTGTTTTTAATTATTTCATTCTCTTAAATAGACAAAAGGAATCAGATGAGCTTGGCAATTTGAAGTTAAAGTGAATTTTTGAGGTAGTCCAGGTTACAACTATTAAACTGATGGCAATATTCTGGGTCAGCTGCTTAGTATCATTTTCACAGTGAGGTACTAATAGAATTTGATGTATTAATAATTAGGAAAATGCCCCTAAATTCGATTATAAGTATAATTTTTCTTTTTGAGAGATTTTTGCTGTAGGGCATGTATTCTCTCTGGAGAGACAGAAAGTAAGAAATCATCTCCTGGTGGGGGGGATGGCTAGGGCACAATCCCTTTTCCATTCTCCTCTTTGGATTTTGGGCACGCATACACACGCACCTGGCATGAGGTTTAAGATGCTTGGTCTGGACTTGAACTGTGGACAACACATTGAATGACGCAACCATTATGGGATGTACTGGTCCCGAAAAGTCAATTTTTCTGAGATATAACATGGACTAGGACCTGCGAGGTGGCTAGGTCCACATCACTGACTTTGCCATTAGAATCTCAGGCCTGGTGGCTTGAAAAGCATGTCAGGTGCATGTGCATATGTGCCTAAGATCCTGAAAGGAGAGGCTGGTAGATAGTGCTGGACTTCCACATGGCCAACCATGGTTTGAGTCCTGGACCTGGCAATTTCTTTTCTCACTTTCTTTCTCTCTCTCTCTATCTCATCTCACTTTGCCCCTCTCTGACCTAATTGAAAATAAATAAAAATAAATAAAGTTAAATAAAATAATTCTTTTTTTTTTTTTTTTTTTTAAGAGAGGTTTTTGCTATAGGGCACATGTGCTCACCAGACAGAGAGAGAGAGACAGAGAGATAGAAAGCGAGAAATCACCCGTTCACGCCACAATCCCTTCTCCTCTGTTCTCCTCTAGGGATCTTGGGCACGCACACACATGTGCCCGGCATGAGTTTTAAGCCACTGGGTCCGGGACTCGAACTGTGATCGACTACATGGGAGTCCAGCGACATAGCCATTACGCTAACTGCTGGTCCCGAACAATAATTCTTAAAAAAAAAAAAAAATCCTGAAAGGAGAATATAGAAAGGATTGATGCATGGCTACCACCCCCAGGTGGTTTCTCACTTTTCCTCTACCCAGTCAATGTTCAGTGTCCTATAACCCCCCCCCCCCCCAAAAAAAAAGGAGGGGATGAGAGAGGAAGGATGTGTGAAGATTCACAGATCCTGACATTGGAATTGTTAACCTTTGGGGAAAAGAAGCTGTGACTGACAGGCAGGCACGTATGTAGCAGAGCACAAAGAGGGAAAGAACTGAGACTGGAAATATCATAAAGGCCAAGGTAGATATGTTTGGAGAGTTGTTACTGACTAAGAAAATTGAGGGCCTCAGTAGGTGGCATAGTGATTAAAGTGCTGGAGTCCCGTGGCTGACTGCAGTTGGAGTCCCAGACCTAATGGCTTAAAAATTACACCGGCCACATGTGTGTACCCCAAATCCAAGGAGAATGGAGAAGAAGGGAATTAAGGAGTGGCCATCCCTCCCGGGGATGGGTGGTGATTTCCCACTTTTCCTCTCATTTTATTTTTCCTCTCTGGTGTGTGAGCACACACACTCTATGGCAAAAACCTTTTAAAAATACCTTTAAAAGTATTCAGTACTGGGACCAGCAGTTAGTGTAATGGCTATGTCACTGGACTCCCACGTGGTCAACCGTGGTTCATGTGCCGGACCCAGTGGCTTAAAACTCACACCGGGTGTGTGTGCGTGCCCAAGATCCCAAGAGGAGAATGGAGAAGGGATTGCAGCATGGCCATCCCTCCTAGGGGGTGATTTCTTGCTTTCTGTCTCTCTGTCTGGCGAGCGCACATACCCTATAGCAAAAACCCCTGCAAAAAAAAAAAAAAAAATTCAGTGCCACTGTGTCCTGTAACTTGAGCATTATTGTCAGAACATAATTTAGCTGGGATATCAGAACTGATAGAGCCACTAACTATCTGGATTTGTTTCAAATTTTCTAGCATGTATTTGTGAAAACTACAAGCTGGTCACAGATTGTTATGAAAATGAGGATGGTAAATGCCAGTGTACTTCATTTGGCACACAAAATACTGTCATTTGCTCTAAACGTAAGTAAATATCCTGACTGTCTTTTAATTTTACCTTGACTTAATGCTTCTTTCATTGACTTGTCTTGAGTTGGGAAGAGTTTTATTGGTTCAAATCTGAGTCTTGTTATTTTTGTGAAAATTATCTCACATCTGGATTATCAGAAGGTAAGTGTGGGAAATGTAAGCTTGAAATAATCTTCAGTCCTGGGAGTTTAGAGTCAAATTTTTAAAAGTTTTTCCCTGTAAGCATGAAGCTGCAATTATCTTTCAGTTTGACATGAAGTTTTCTTTTTAGTGGCTACGAAATGTTTAGTGATGAAGGCAGAAATGACTGGTTCGAAGGGTGGGAGAAGGGCAAAACCTGAAGGGGCACTCCAGAACAATGATGGACTTTATGATCCAGACTGTGATGAGAAAGGGCTCTTTAAAGCCAAGCAGTGCAATGGCACCTCCACGTGTTGGTGTGTGAACAGTGCTGGTGTCAGACGGACTGACAAGGACACTGAAATAACCTGTTCTGAGCGAGTGAGGACCTAGTAAGTTGGACTGCCTATGATACTTGTTTTCATGCTTTTCAGATTTGTTTAATTACATTTATTTTTGAATTTAAAACACTTTTTTGTTGTTTTGTGTCATAGAGTACATGCACTTGCCAAAGAGAGTCAGACAGAGGGAGGGTCATGGGGGTACTGACATACCACAATTCCTTTTTCTCCATTCTCTTGGGATTTGGGGTATGCACACACATATGCCTGGCCTATCTTGTAAGTTACCAGGTTCAGGACTTGAATTGCAGAGTCAGCCATGTGGGTGGGATCTAGCTGCCCATCTACCATGCTACCGACTGGCCTGAGACAATCCCATGGTTTAAAATTCAAAAGATAAGGGTGGCTTGGTGGCCTAGAGGTTAAGGGATCTTGAGCTTCATGGCCGACTACTTGGTTCAAGTCCTGGACCCAGTGCCTTGTAAAATCTGTTGGGTTCGTGTATGAGTATGGCCCAAATCCCAGGTGGAGAAAGGAAGAAGGCGTTACGTGACCACAATCATTGGAGTGTGTTTTCTTGCTTTCCCTGTCTGTCTCTCTGTCTTTCTGAGTACATGTACCCTCTGGCAAATGAAAAAAAAATAAAAAAGATAGAAAACGATGTACAATCAAAAGTCTTCATCCCATCCTAGTCTGCCAGCTACCCAGGGGTGTACCTCTATAGAACTGATATTATCAGTTCTTTTTTTTTAAGAGAGAGATTTTTGCTATAGGGTACTCGCACTCTCAGAGACACAGAGAGAAGGACAGAAAGTGAAAAATCACCCCCCCCACACGGGGGGTGTGTGTGTGTGTGCTTGGCCACGCCCTAATCCCTTCTCTTCTATCCTCTTGGGATCTTAGGCACCTGTGAGTTTCAAACTACTGGGTCTGGACTATCAACCGTGTTCAGCCATGTGGGAGTCCAGCACCCCAACCACTATGTAATGTGTTGGCTTACCCCTTATCAGTTTATTCATAACCACGTCTATATATATATACATACGGATGTGTATATACTCTTATTTTTTACATAAATAATATGTTAGACATAATTTTCTTTTTCTTTTATTTTTTATGAAGATTTTTGCCATAGCGTGTGTGTGCTTATCAGAGAAAGAAAGAAAGTGAGAAATCACCCCCAGGGGGATGGCCATCCTACAGTTTAGGGCACGGTATGTTTTTCAAGCCACTGAGTCCAGGACTTAAACCACAGAGTTAGACATGTAGATCCACCACCTTAAACTCTTGTCCTCTGCTAACTTAATTTTCCTTTTTTATGGTCTTATAACACTGACCAGTATTTATTTTTTTAAAGAATTATTTTATTTGAGACCAACAGTTGGGGTAATGGCTATGTTGCTGGACTCCCAAGTAGGCGACCACAGTTCGAGTCCTAGACTTGGTGGCTTAAACTCACGCCGAGTGCGTGTGCATGCGTGCCCAAGATCCCAAGAGGAGAAGGGACTGCGGCATGGCCATCCCCCCTGGGGGGTGATTTCTCTCTTTCTGTCTCTCTCTCTGTCTCTGTCTGGTGAGCGCACGCGCCCTATAGCAAAAACTTCTCCAGAAAAAAAAAAAAGCCTCATGCTGGGCGTGTGTGCGTGGGAGCCCAGGATCTCGAGAAGGAGATGGAGGAGAATGGATTGTGGCATGGCCATCCCCCCGGGGGGGGTGATTTCTTGCTTTCTGTCTCTCTGTCTCTCTCTGTCTTTCTGGCAAACTCAGGTGCCCTACAGTTAAAAAAAACCTCTCAAAAAATTATTTTATTTAACATTATTTAATTTAATCAATTAATTTTAATTTGACTGGAGAGAGAGAATGCAAGAGAGAGAATGTGAGAAAACAAGTCACCAGGTCTGGGACTTGAACCACAGTTGACCATGTGAGAGTCCCACTGCTGTTAACCACTACTGACCTGCCAGCCCCTACTGACCAGTATTTTAAAGTTAAATTAGTGTTGGAGTTGGCAGATAGCATGGTGGTTAAGGTGCTGGACTTCTGCATAAGTGACCGTGGTTTGAGTCCTGGATCTGGTAGCGGTAGCTTGTTTCTCATTCTCTCTCCCTGCTGAATCTGAATATTAATAATAATAAATAAATTAATACTTTTTAAAAAGTTAAATTAGTATTAAATGTAAATGAATAGTTTAAATATTTATATATTTGCTCATTTGTTACATTCTAAAATGAGATATTGTTATCCTAGGGATTATTTAATGAAAAGGATCATAAACCCACTCAAGCTAGCCTAATCAAAAAATGCTATTGGAAAGAACTAGAAAAAGGAAAGAGGTCAGGACCAAAGGTAGCACTCTTTACAGTTTTGCCTTATAGAGCTTCATAATAATTTTTCTCCATTTCTCTCAGTGGCTTTTGTCTTTTCCCTGGAGCAGGGCTTATCATAGTCAATTCATCTTGGACTTCTCATGACCTTAATGTGTTTTGGCTATAAGGCAGAGCATCGATATTAGAAAGAGTGGATTCTTTATGAAGAATATATGGAAGCAAGAGAAGAAATGGGCAGATTTATTTTTTAAAACATTTTTTAAATGAATAGACTGCTAGGGTGTATGCACTCATAAGAAAGACAGAGACAGAGAGACAGAAAGCGAGAAATAACACCCCAATGGGGATAGCCACGTCACAATCCCTTCTCCTCCTCTAGGGATCTTGGGCACTCATGCACACGCGCCGGGTGTGAGTTTAAGCCACTGAGTCCTGGACTCGAGCTGTAGTCGGCTACATGGGAGTCCAGTGACATAGCCATTACACCAACTGCTGGTCCCTCTTTTTTTTTTTAAAAAAAAAAAAAAAGAATTATTTTATTTAACTTTATTTTATTCATTTTAACTTGATCAGAGAGGGACAGAGAGAGAGAGACAGAGAAAGTGAGAAAGCAAGCCTCCAGATCCAGGACTCGAACTATAGTTGAACATGTGAGAGTTCAGCGCCTTTAACCACCACCACCTGCCAGTCCCCAAATGTACAGATTTTCTACATAAATCTTTTTTTCTGGTAATTCTTTTTTTTTGGAGAGGTTTTTTCCTATAGGGCACATGCGCTCGCCAGAAAGGGATACAGAGAGACAGAAAGCTAGAAATCACCCCCTGCAGGGGATAGCCATGCTGCAATCCCTTTTCCTCTTGGGATCTTGGGCACTCATGCACACACGCCCTGTATGAGTTTAAGCCACCATGTCCGGGACTTGAACTGTGGTTGACTACATGGGAGTCCAGCGACATAGCCATTACCCCAACTGCTGGTCCCAGCTTTTTGTAATTCTTAGGATTTTTAGTATTAACTAATTAGGGGCAAAGTAAAAAGTCAGAATTGTTATATTTAATTTATACTGTTTCTATTTCACAGCTGGATCATCATTGAATTGAAACACAAAGCAAGAGAAAAACCTTATGATGTCCAAAGCTTGCAGAAGTAAGTGCAATTCATTGTATAATATTATCATAGGCCATTAATGTTCAAATCTTCTATGCTGTTAGAAAGTAAACTAAATTGGGGCCAGCTAGGGGTGTAGTAGTTAAGACCTTGGACTTCCACATGGGTAACCATGATTCAAGTCTCACTCCTGTTGGCTTGCTTTCTCACTTTCTCTTTCTCTGTGTCTTTCTCTATTCAAATTGAATAAAAAAATAAATATTGTTAAATAAATAATTTTTTTAAAAAAGAAAAGAAAGTAAACTAAATCTTTGGACAGCAGGTAACGTAATGGTTATGTCACTGTATTCCCACGTAGTGCACCACAGTTCCAGTCCTGGAGCTGGCAACTTAAACTCACACTGGGCGGCTGTGTATGCATGCCCAAGATCTTGAGGGCATAATAGAGGAGAAAGGATTGTGGCATGGCCATCCCTCCAGCATTGATTTTTCACTTTTGGTCTCTATCTCTCCATATAGCACATGCACCCTATAGCAAAAATCTCTCTTTTAAAAAAATAGGAGAGGAACCGGCAGGTGGCATGGTGGTTAAGGTAGCTATACTCCCACATGGCTGACTGCGGTTTGAGTCCTGGACCTGGCAGCTTGCTTTCTTACTTTCCTCCTTTTTCTGTTTCTCACTGGTCAACTTCAAAAAAATTCTCTATCTCTCCATATAGCACATGCACCCTATAGCAAAAATCTCTCTTTTAAAAAAATAGGAGAGGAACCGGCAGGTGGCATGGTGGTTAAGGTAGCTATACTCCCACATGGCTGACTGCGGTTTGAGTCCTGGACCTGGCAGCTTGCTTTCTTACTTTCCTCCTTTTTCTGTTTCTCACTGGTCAACTTCAAAAAAATAAAAATGGGGGAACCAGCAGTTAGCATAATGGCTATGTCGCTGGACTCCCACGTAGTCGACCGCGGTTCGCGTCTTGGACCCGGTGGCTTAAATCTCACGCCGGGCGCGTGTGCGTGCGTGCCCAAGATCCTGAGAGGAGAATGGAGGAGAAGGGATTGCGGCGTGACCATCCCCCCTGAATGTTGCTGGACTCCCATGAAGTCGACCATGGTTTGAGACCTGGACCCAGTAGCTTAAACTCACACCGGGCGCATATGCGTGCGTGCCCAATTGTGAGAGGAGAATGGAGGAGAAGGGGTTATGGCGTGGCCATCCCCCCAGGGGGATGATTTCTCACTTTCTCTCTGTCTCTTGCTGCCTTTCTGGTAAGCTTATGTGCCCTATAGTGAAAACCTCTCCAAAAAATAAATAAATAAAATAAAATAAAATAATGACAATGAATAAAATGAAATAATTCTTTGAAAAAAAAAAGAAAGAGGGACCAGCGGGCGACATGGTGGTTAAGTTGCTGGACACTCCCACATGGCCGACCAGGGTTCAAGTCCTGAATCTGGTGGCTTGCTTTCTCACTTCCTTTCTCTCTCACTCTCAACCTCTGTCTCTGGTAAAATTAAAAAATGAATGAATGAATAAATAAAATAAAATTAATAATTTTTTAAAAAAAGAAAGAAAAACTAAGTCTAAATGACTTTTCGTATTTCAAGTGGTTATTTGACATAGAATTGTAAAAATACTTTTTCCAGGAGCCAGCAGGTGGCATGCTGGTTATAGCCAGCTGTGGTTCAAAGCTCAAGACTTGGTGGCTTGCTTTTTCATTTTCTCTCTCTTTCTCTCTCACCCTGTCCCTCTAAAATAAACAAACAAACAAATAAAGCTAAATAAAATAATTCTTTTTTTAAAATGAGCCCCCCTTCTTTTTTATATTTTATTTATTTTTATTATTTTATTTATTATTTTTTAAGTTTACCAGAGAGAGACAAAGAGAAGGAAAATGAGAAAGCAAGCTGCCAGCTCAGGGACTTGAACCATGGTCAGCCATGTGGGAGTCCAGCAGCCTCCACCACCATGCCACCTGCCAGCACCAATAAAATAATTCTTTTAAAAAACTAAAAAAAAAAAAAAATTTTCTATAATCACTTGAGTGTCATTTATAGACCTCTTATCCCTTAGCTGTATATTTTCCTAAGAACAAAAGGTCTTTTCTTATCTACAGTAGTACCCTTGTTCCAAGACTCCCAGTAGATACCTGAAACAACAGATAGCACTAAATACGTTTTTTCTTTTTAAAGAATTATTTAATTTTATTTATTCATTCATTTATTTTAACTTGACCAGAGAGACACACACAGAAAGAGGGAATGTGAGAAAACAAGCCAGATTTGGGATTTGAACCGTGGTTTGCCATGTAGGGGCGTCCAGCACCTTAACCACCACACCACTTGCTGGTCCCAGCGCTAAACATTTTATGTAGTATCATATACTCTGATTTTTATTCTGAGAACAAAGACAGTTACTAAGTGGTCAACCAGGTAGGCAGCATGCAGAGTGTGGATTTGCTGGAAAAGGAATGATTCATATCCTAGAAAAGATCACATGGCTTGGCAGAAGATTTTTTTAAAAAGAATTTTGTGTTCATTTATTTATTTTATTTATAATTTTTTTAAAGATCATGCTTTTTAAAAAAATTAACTTTACTTATTATTATTTTCTAGTTTGATCAGAGAGAGAGGGAAAGTGAGAAAGCAAGCCACCAGGTCTGTGACTCAAACTGTGGTCAGCCATGTGTGGGAGTCTATTGCCTTTAACCACCATGCCATGTGCCACCTCCTTGTTTATTTATTTTAATTTGACTAGAGAGAGACACACAGAGAGGGAAAGTGAGAAAGCAAGCCAGCAAGCCACCGGGTCCAGGATTCAACTTGTGGTTGACCATGTGGAAGTGTCCAGTGCCTTAACCTCCCCGCTACCTCCTTGGCCCCAGGCATAAGATCTCATCACACCACTCAGAATAGTATAGAACATCAGCTGTTTATTTCTTTTTTGTTTGTTCGTTTCTGCTATAGGGTACGTGTACTTATGACAGGGTGCGGGAGGAGAGAGAAAGTGATAGAGAACGTATGCTTGCCAGAGAGAGAGAGAAAGTGAGAAATCATCTTTCAGGGGTGATAGCCACACCACAGTCCGTTTTCTGACATTTTCCCATTCTCCTTTTGGGATTTTGGGCATGCATGCACAGGTGCCCAGGGTGATTTTCAAGCTGCTGAGTCTGGGCTGCCAACCTTACATTTGGCCATGTGGAATTCAGCTGCCTTAACCTCCATGCCAACTACTGGCCTTAGTTGTTTATTTCTAGAATTCTTCTGTTTCACATTTTCTCTCTGTGGTTGACCATAGGTAACTGACTGCAATGATCAAATTCAGGAAATTTAATGTTATACCATATTGTGTTGCTATTCCTAATATTGTTGTTCGGGACAGTTTTTTCTCCTCTGACCCAGGACCTAGTCCAAGATTGTGCATTGCATTGTCATGAATGTTTGTTAGGGGGACTGTTGTAAACATTACTCAGTGATGAAATTCAGGAAATTTTGGGCCGGCAGGTGGCATGGTGGTTAAAGGTGTTGTACTCCTACAGGGCCAACCGCGGTTTAAGTCCCAGACCTGACTGCTTGCTTTCTCACTTTCCTTCTCTCTCTGTCTCTCTCTCTCACTCTGTCCCTCTATGGTCAAATTTAGATAAATAAAGTTAAATAAAATAATTCCTTAAAGAAAAATTCAGGACATTTAATGTTATACCAAATCGTGTTATTCTCGATATTATTTTGGGCATTTTTTTCTTCTCTTACCCAGGACTCAGCCCAAGACTGTGCATTTTATTGTCATGACTGTTTTTTTCAATTTGCCAAAGGGCATGTGTGCTGACCAGGCAGAGAGAGGATGAGACAGAAAGCACCCCCCAATGGGACATGGTCATACTGCAATCCTTTCTCCATTTCTCCATCCTTTCAGGATTTTTAGCACACATGTACACATGTCCAGTGTGTTTTAAAAAAATATTTATTTATTTTTTTCCCTTTTTTTTTTTTTTTGAGAGGTTTTTGCTATAAGGCACGTGCGCTTGCCAGACAGACAGAGAGAGACAGAGAGACAGAAAGTGAGAAATCACACCCCAGGGGGGATGGCCACGCCGCAGTCCCTTCTCCTCCATTCTCCTCTCGGGATCTTGGGCACGCATGCACACGCGCCCGGCATGAGTTTAAGCCACCGGGTCCACGACTCGAACCGCGGTTGACTACGTGGGAATCCAGCGACATAGCCATTACACTAACTGCTGGTTCCCTACGCTAGTTTCTTTTAAGGTGGGAAAGATTGTTGGCTTTTCTTTGTCTCTCATAACTGATTTGTTTGTTTGTTTTTCCTTAAAATTTTTTCCACTAAGTGTGGAATGGAAAACATCCTTAGACTCCAATAGGAGTCTTTAGAAACATCCTTAGACTCTTACTCTCAGTCAGTCAGGGCCATGTACAGTGTGTGTCTGTCTTCATGCACAAGGAGGTTCCAGGTTGTGATCCTAGGACCTTTTCTATGTCCAATTGTATTATCCCTGTGCGTAATATTTAGTGTCTCCCAATGACACTTAATATTTTTGAAGGGAATGGGTAAATTGTTTATATAATGCCCCTCGGGACCAGCAGTTAGCGTAATGGCTATGTCGCTGGACTCCCACATAGTTTACCGCGGTTCGAGTCCCGGACCCGGTGGCTTAAACTCATGCCGGACGCATGTGCGTGCGTGCCCAAGATCCCAAGAGGAGAATGGAGGAGAAGGGATTGCAGCGTGGCCATCCCCCCTGGGGGGTGATTTCCTGCTTTCTGTCTCTCTGTCTCTCTCTGTCTGTCTGGCGAGCGCATGCGCCCTATAGCAAAAACCTCTCCAAAAAAAATTAATAAAAATATAATGCCCCTCATATTTGGATCTGTGTAATGTTTTCTCATAACCAAATAAGTTATGCATTTTTTTTGAGAGATTTTTGCTATAGGGTGCGTGCACTCGCCAGACAGACAGAGAGAGAAACAGAGAGACAGAAAGCGAGAAATCATCCCCCAGGGGGGATGACCACACCGCAGTCCCTTCTCCTC